CTCCCTGCAGTTGCGGATATTTGTTGCATGTTTAAAGTAACTATATAAACATGACTCGGGATCGTCTCCTAGGCCACCCGTGGCGCAGGCCACAATGTAAGAGAGTTCCGTCATTTCTTAGTCCAGAAAACTGCAAGAGGTCGTTCAGGACATCAGGTTGAATCGGCGACTTGACGATCGTCACATTTGTTCTTTCTGCGTACTGGACCAGTGTAGTTAGATGTGACAAAATCTGGTAGACAGTCTCTTAGTGCAATTGTTATTAAAATTCATTTCCACTAATGGACATATACATGCATACGTTTTGTTATTATAATACGCATATAATTACTATGCATAGGCACACGCGCAGGCTGGAATAGTACGACACTTAATATTTATCGATACAGTCAGGCCTAAGTTTATAAACGGTATATTAGATGAGGCATTGTTGAGCCCATTACTTATTATAAACAAAACTTCTGCAAGGTACAACAGGCTGGTTATTACTGCTGCAACAGGTAACGTTAGGTAGACATTTTACATACATACATACAACATAGTATAGGTACAATACGTGCTGCTGATATGCTCGTCTCCGGCAAGGCTTTAAGGTGACGAGTCATGCCATCTCCCTCTAAGGCCTAATGGTTTCGATGTGCGATTGAATGCGATAAGTCAACTCTGCATGCAAGAAATTTAATGTAAGCCTTTTTGCGCACCGGTCAATTTCCTGATAGCGGTGATTTAGTTGGCAGTAAGTCAGACATTAGTCACGGAATGAAACTTCTATTGAAATATTTTGCGTTCCATGTCTCGGTTAGCTGGCACGTTCGACAATTCAAGCATGACTTAATGGAACACAAGAGATCCGAAAAAAAATCCAAGCCGGACCTTAGCGGAACAAAATTTGAACGAATCATCCCGTTAACTCGGCCAGCGCACAACACGAACCACACGAAGTTCTATAATGATGATAAATCAGGATAGTTAATAATATACAAGTAAAAAAGACACGAAAAAGCGGCGAAATAATATTGGATACCTGAATTAGGTAAAGGCACGCGAGCAACATGCATTGGCCACACTAACGGCACCTTGTGTTTCCGCGGTTCAGCAAACTCATAAAAAATGACAGAAGACGAATTTCTCACTACAACTGAAACAGACATGCCTGCTCAGTCCGATTCGTCACATCTAGGCGGCCTTCGAGTCATACTTGCAGAACACATCCATCTCGATGACATACACAGAACTGCGGTCCTTCTTCTCTCTAAGTTGGCCTAAATGTCGGAACTGCATCAGCTCGTCAATCGAGCAATGCAGTATCGTCACCGATCTCCTACAGTTTCCTATAACATACTGAAAACTTACACACATTCGAACATAAAAATATCATTCATATACAAAACCATATGATTCTACATTTTCGTGAAGGGAAAAAGGTCAGGTGCGTTTAAGACTCGACGGATGCTTACAGTAGGCTTGCTACAGATTTTTTGTGGATTATTTGTGATGAAAAAGGAAGGGTTTCCCAACTACTCGAGTTTAAAAATGTTCCACCGAATATAAATTGCCGGACGTTGCTTGTAATCGAACGATATATTTTCCACGGCCTGGTATTGTAAAAGTGCGATTGGGAATAACCTTGAAGAGGAAGCTCTAGTAGATTCGGTTTAGTCTACATTAAGAGTTGAAGGCATATCGCGGAGGCGAATTCTAATTGGCACTCATGAGAACCAGCCTTTTAACAGGAAAATTTCTCCCTCTATTTATGAAATCTTTCACTTTTGTAGAGAAATTCTTAGCAGGTTAGCGCCTGGCTAACGTTAGCAGAGTGTATAGATCAAGCTGGCAGTTTCGCCAGCGGGTCTTCTAGTAAACGAGCGTCAAATATAGAATCCTTGTTGACCCTTGTTGAAGTTACCCGTCAGATTTCATTTTCGATACATTTTTCTTGTTTGCTTTTATTTTTTCCGCGGCAAAATTCATGAATTTTGCCGCGGAAATGTAATGAAGATTAATGGCTAATGCGAGCGAACTGCAGTACTATCAAGCGATGACTGTACACTATGCCACACCTAACCCTACCCTATCCAAAATAACTATATATATCTCTAAACTAGATTTAAATGCTAGGGCATCTTGCCTCTGTGGTCATTATATACATGGTTTGGCTGATCTAATAAATTACCTGCTGCGTGGAAGCTAAAGTAGATGTACGAATTTCGTACCATCATCAAAAATAGTGAGCAGAAAACATCCTTTTACAAATATAAACATGATTATCTAATCGATACATTGAAACACCCAATGATAAAAATAATATCTATAGTATATACAATAAATATAGTATCTAATGATGCCGCTTCTGTATGCCCATATAATAAATATCCTCTCCGAATAGTAAATGCTAAATACATGCGTTTTTAGCAGGCGGAAAAATCCCTTTAACTCAGAATAGATCTGATTATTGTCGTGTATGCTGGTTCTTTATGTATTTTTGTAAAAATTCACTTTGAAACTATACGTATCGTACGTGCCTTATGACTCTCAGTCAGCTTTGTCCAGTGTTCGAGTATGTATATGTATATATAGGTCGTGTATGAAATTCCTTAAGCCAGCGAAATCTTGCTAGAAAGTGTCAAGTAATATCCATCATAAACTGGATTAAAATAGATCGAATAGTACAACTGCTTATTACACAATATAGTTATCTCATAGGTTTTGTGAGAACAAAAATAAAAAAAAAGGCTCAAGAAGGTTCGCTGCGAATCATCATAGCAGGGCTAAAATTCCTGATAGTAGCATGTCCCGGAGGTTCGACGACTGACAGCGCTGCCTGTAGTAAATAAGCTCTTCTGCTTCAATTTAAGCTAAAAAGGATTGATATTATGTAGGTGTAACAATGGCTAACATCAGCCGGTGCAACAGTTCTGCTCGAAAGAAGACGGCCATCAAAAATTAAGTCGATTTTCTGCATTACTCTTAAATAGCATTTCGTCATTGCCAAGATCTCAGCCCACAAAGATATCTTTATAAAAGGGCCATTTACGATTGACACGCTTCAAGAGGTAATAAGTGTAGCAGAAGGTAAAATAAAAAGGACCGCTGTGATACCTTCAGCTCCATTCACCGGCAGGGCAGTCCAAGCAGACTAGAGAAGTACGAGGTTTCTTTTGTTCCTAAAAGATCATTTCCAGTTACTTAGAAGATATATTTGTGGTGCAAAACTGTATCATATAGCGCAGACGGGCACAGAGGCCCCGCAAGGATCAGTATTACGACCACTACCGTGGGATACGATGATACCCAAATCAACTACAACTTTTGCGAATCACTTGTCAGCAGTTATATTACTTAAAGACAAAAACTGACCTCTGAATCAGGATTGATGATATAATGGAAATACTCACAAGCTGGATTCAGGAGCACGGACACAAACTGGCCTCTGTAATTTTTTCTGGTGAATGGTATGAAAAATTCGAATATGTCGAAGTTAAATGGCTATACGATTCCACCGTCAAAGAAAATAGTATACCAGGTATTATTGGGTACAGCACACGTCGACTACGCAACAACAAAAATAGTTCAAGCTATCAACGGCCTGGCCAGAAACATGTCAGTGACGCATAGATCCGATGCAGGTGTCAGGAAGGTATTAGCTTTAATCACAAATTTCGTCACGCCATACGCTAGACCGGTACAGAATAACACCAGGCGGGAGAACACCAACAGACGCAAGCATGAGAAACACTAGGAGTAAATTGTGCAAGGAAGACTCAAAGCGCTTAGAAGAGAAACGAACTGATCTTTTGGGAACTATAGATAGAAGAAAGGTAGATACGTAACAAAAACAACACAATTAAAAAAAACCGCCTCGTGTGGGGCTACAGCAGGAAGCGGCTCACCTAATCACACCTAAAAACAACTACAGGTAGAGCGACCAAGGCTTTCAAGATATTAGCCTCCGGTACTATCGGGTGTCATTCTATCTGCCTCAAATGCTATGCAGACATGGCTTGTTTGAAGTATATCGGCACAGAATAGGAAATGCTTAAGTATCTCAGGTAAGATCTCGGTTATTTTATCGTTCTGTAAACGCAACAGCGTTAGGGACATATATAAGGACCTGAGTCATAGCCTGAGGCGTATGCCGGGCCTTCGTGAATAGATAAACAAAATGATGGAGAAATATGAAAAATGGAGAATCATGGAAGCAAATGCAATCCGAACGCTACGAATAAAATCGCCGCCAGAAATAAAAACTAGGAACACAGAGTATGACAGCAACGATACTCCCGAGAAAGCTTGACTAACAGTCCGATTAGATTATTCCTTATCGCTTTTACCTGGATTTGTTTGAGGCATACGGGGCTGGCTTCTACGGCCTTTCAGATCACTAGTCCAACATACATAATCTGGGGCTAAAGTTTTCGCGGGTGGCACCTCTCGGTATAAAATCCTTTGTAGTACCATTTAAGGATTTCACATGCCCGGTTATATTAAGTGGGGTGTGTATTAGAATACTAGAGAGGTGACCTCTAAAAGAAAGTAAATTAGCTTTGCTTTTGCTTGTAAATTCCTCCCTGGAGTGCTCTTATAGTCTCTAATTCCCCCTTTGAACACTGGTACGAAAGCCGTTCGTACCACGCTCGTTCCCGTAGCCATACACCCTCAATGTGTCCCTCTAGCATTGCTGTCGTATCGTCGCGTTTTTCCGTTGCAAAATAGATCTTTTTAGCGACCCAGTGTTTTAGGCCATGGCCGTCATCCTCGCTGTGTGGGTTACTTTGTTTAGAGAAAGATCTTCTACGCGCAGATGTCTAGTTCGATACGCGACCTATGCTAAATCGGTTGATGGTGTCAGCCTCGCTACCACCGTAGGAAGCTGATTAGCCTAAAAGCTGCGCGGACTCACATTTTATCACCAGTAGCCTATTCTAGTCTAGTTATTTCATACTTATTAAGGCACATTCTCTATAGGTGTAGTTTTATTAAGGAATATTATCATTTTTCGAAATTATCTCAAGTGTTTATTATTCGTTTGCCGCGGGAACGACGTAGATATGAGTATATTTGTGCTGTTTGGCGGATATAAGGAATAGTCGATACCATGCCCCCGATAGGATCCGGAGCAGTTCGTAATCTGCAGTGGTCCCAATAGCATCATGTCGTCCATTAGCAGTTCTTACGGCTATTCTCCCTTAACAAGCCGAGTTTCTTCATATGCTGCGTGATTATTGCATCTGATACATTTTACGTAAGCGATTATAGTTCAGAGTGAAACGAAATAGATGCTGACTGTATGGCTGTCTGTGTAAAATCTCAGTTTATTTTGCTCGGCCATATCGTGCATGGGGTCTGACGCTACTTCCAGTGGGCAACTGCTATCGGGGCCGCTTAATCTCGCAATGTGACGACCACCGAAGTTAATGAATTAACGGAAGGGGCAATTTTGGATGATTTGTATTTAATCACAGGAACACTGATTACATAGTTATATATACTCCGCCTGGTCAGAACGACCACTCTTTAAAAAAGTTATTGCTCTATTTGTCTCTCGATCAATTTGTTGCAGACTGAATCTGAGTATGTGAACGACTTTCACAAAGTAGCAAATCAAATTTGTTTTTATAAAGTTTCAAAACAAATAAATAAACGAAAAAAAAATCCAGTTTGATATGGAATTTTTTTTTGTTTTGGAATCGGTTATCGCCATAGCTCACAGCTTCTGCGCGCTCGGAAGTAACTGATGTCGTATTTGATTTACCATAAGAGTCAAAATAGATTCCTTTTGGGTCACGACAAGAGAGCTTAAAATAAAGTAGCCCAACGTTTGCTGATTGCTCCAAAATGGAAAATGGTATTGAAAGATTGTTGTATGCACAACACTAAACATCGATTTGCATACAACCCAAAAATAGAGATTTTTAGCTCTGTCGTACCGTATCGTATGGGACGTCAGGTTTACCAACTTCTCCAACTTGACGCTGTTTACGCCTAAACGGAGCTAAAGCAAATTTGGATCAGGGCTGGGCATTGCTCGGCTATAACTCGAGGTTATTTAAGATCAGACAGTATTAAATGCTCGAAACAACGCTCAGCGCTACAGGCTTCAGTAAGCCAAGTGTGTAGATACAGTTGTACATCGGTTACATCAGCTTGATTTTTTTCCATTGAGCTTTACATGCATTTTGAGAAAGCCATGTAAATGTTTCGCGAGTTTTACATTACTAGGTGTCTATAAAAAAGTGCTCGCAGCTTAATGTAGTAAATTGCAGACATTGCATGTATAATTTGAGCCCGTGTTTTCTTAGAACCTGCTTTAAAGTTGTAAAGATGTGACATACAAGAGGTGGAACAAGTCATTCGTATACCGTCACAAGCTAGCCGCTTGAGGGATCAACGCTCGATGAGCTTTTTCTACTTGTCAATTGATGACGGAACTTTTTCGTCCTCATCGACCGAACTTGATCGGCTATACTTTAGCCGGAATACAAGGTTTGCGTCAGGGATAATAGTTGTTCGCTGATATCTTCTTTTGGTTTTATTGTTTTGATATTGTACATGCCGGATTTCGCCCCTGCACGTTTTCCAAGAACACAACTTTGCTTTGAAATGATAAAGTTAACTGTGAGTTAAATTGGTAATCTGCGTTCGCTTGACGATGCGCCAGCACGATGATACGGAGAGGCTTTTTGCTCCGAGTAGGGTTGCACAGGCAGACAGTTTGAAAAGTTTGTCAATAAGATAAAATGAGCCAAATAACCCTTTTTTTTTCTAAGTAATTAGCTTGCCAGAATATAATTGGTCGAAAAGTCGTAAACAAACTATACTAGACAAGCATTAAACATAACAGCTGCAAATTATGGTTTCTATAGGTGAGTGATGCCATTTTTTATTTAAGGTAACCTCTATACGATCTGCTGCTGGTGTTCGTAGTTGGTCATCTTGCCCTTTGGAGATTGATTAGGCTTAGTCCATATCCATCTCGTCCCTCCCCTTCATCACGCCTACTAAAGCAAAAGTGAAAGAAAGGGAGGTGTCCATCAATAGACACTCGATTAAATATAATCTAAAAGGTTTTAAGTGGACAAATTTATGTAAACAAAATTTAGTTAATTTAAAGCAATGTCTCTCTGAAATTTTAAGCACTTTCTCACTGATTTATATGTACATTTATATCACTGATTTATTGATACAAAACTACCATACTATGGCACCTTTTCAAATTGATACGTACAAAGATAACATATATAGACGCAATATCAGCGGCTGAAAACAATCGCTGATGTATCAATACAAATAAATTGAGTTGAATCCTTTTTTTTTTTGTTAATCCTTTCAGTCAAGGCCATTTACTTTCAATTAAACAAAACATTTACAGTTAGTAAATAGAGAAGCATAGTAAACAGGGAAACTGATCTTTACCCCAAACTGCCAATGAGATAGCCTGCATATCAGCCCATAAGCCTGACACAAGGACGCAATTTCAGTTAGCACTACCGTTTAAAGTATTAGTCTGCTACGACCTGTTTCGGCCATTATGGCTGACTAGGATCGATGATCTGTAACTTATAGAAATAGTAAATTTCCCTTAGAATGCATCCTATAACTTAGCGTACTTAGCCTGTGATTCCAGTTCAATTAAAAACGAATATATTGCCAATAAAAACAACCTGAGCACGAGCTAAGCTTGAGGCAAGTCGAAACTTCAAATAACTTTTGAGAGTAGCGCTTTCACTAGATGAGCACACCTCGTTAAAAGGTAGCCCTGTCTTACTTTCGGTGAATGAAAAGTCTGGAACGCCTTGATCCTCTTTAGTATATTATACATTGTTTGCTTCGGCATATAATACGCTCGTTTCTTCAATAGCGTAACCCTCCGTCGTATGATAAGTTTTCGCGCCTATAACTCTATACTTTAAATTGAACGCTCTTCGTCCGATTCAGTTTCGGTCTGTTCGTTTCCAGTTGATATCGCAGCTACCTTCTACCTGAATGAGCACCGATTAACTCCTGCAATATTGACGCTCATCGGTAGAACCAGACTTGAAGCTCGAAATATTTATTTAGTAAGTGTTTAGATTTGGTTTGTCATTACATTGTTGTTAGACAAGCCAGACGCGATCGGCAAACAGAATATAAGCTATAGGAAATAATTACGCCAGCGCAATTGTTCCCTAGTAGACTATATTTGATTTTCTTACAGTTTATCCTTCTCGGCTGTAATAGTGGACACCGTTCCCGAATTATAATTTTGTTTTCGCTTCTGGTTACTGTTTAGCGATGTTACTTGAACTTGAAAGAGTATCACTAGTCGATCCGTTTGCAGCTGGTTGAACGTCGTAGGGTTCCACGTTTGTTTCAATCAGCGTACTTCCCATCATCGCTAGACGTTACGTGGGCTCGGTGATAGTAGGCGCTATGAACCGGGCGGGCTGGTGCGCAGCGCTTGTGAATGCTGATTCATCGATCTACGTCGTTTCATAGGGAATATGTTTCTGGGTCTGTGCATTGCCCTCGGGTGTGACATAGGCAAGCGAATTGTGCTGGCTAGCCTCTCGCTTGCCATTGCCATCATTGGGTTCATCGAGACTAGAGAAGATCTCATTTCGGGAGGCATCTTGATCGATGCGCTCATCGGTTCGTTGTTTTTGCTTTCATGTCCATTACCTGTCATAGTCTTCATCATGTCCATTATCATCGCTGGCCGCATCAGAGAGGCCATCATTGCTGGATTGGTCACAGGCGTCATTATTACGGGCATTATCATGCCTGTCTCAGCTTTTCCCGTGTTGCCAATTGTTTCACCTCTCGTAGGCATCATTATGCCCATAGTTATGGGAGCCATCGGGCCCATCATCATCATTGGAGGCCTCGCGTGATGAACTTCGTGCTGTTGGATCACTGCAAAAGTTAAATCGAAGATGGGACACTTCTTGAAGAAAAAATTAAGTCCAAAGTAAAATTTTTGAAAATTAAGTACTCGTATATTAGTTTGAAATTGCATTCTGATTGGTTAGTTATAAAATGGAAATGAAACTACTGAGGGAATTTAAGCATATGTTTATTAAAACCTGATATGTTTATTAATGAAATGTTATACTCTCTGGCTAACTGCCTTAAGTAAAAACAATTTAATTACAGACCACAATAGTTGAACTGAAGTCTTGGACTGCAGATTATACAGACGACAGGCTACTTACTGTGCATGAAATCGTCCGCATGTGCCAAGTCCATTTCGTGTATCTCCACTTCTCCTCCATGATGAAAGTCCGCCATGTGGTGGGAAGCATGCGAGACGTGCAGAGCGTGATTTGCAGGAATATGATGATGATGATGATGATGATGACCATAACGGCTATCGTAGCCCTTTTTTGCACCCTTCTTTACCATTTTCATACTATAGTCAAATTAACATGAAGACAATACAAGCGGAGTGATCATTCGTTATCTTCATCTCAAGTCGCTGCGTGGCATTACAATGCAATATAGAGATCTGCTAAGGACAGAAATGCAGTCATGGCGTACGCTTTAGCACCGAAGCTATAGAGCTCCCGAGGTTCGTTCTGTCAAAATATAGAAATCATACAGTAGGACATAGTGAATCTTAAAATGCGCACAAAAACGAGGGCGCGCGTGTGAGCTCCAATTCTCGCCTTAGCATTTAGCATCCAGATAACGTATAAGGCTGTCGACGCGCCTTGGATTTGGAATTCTCCTCTTTTCCTAACAGAGTGGATTGTAATCTTTATTAAGCTTGTAGTTAAGCTTTGCCACGGAAGAAGCAATATTGGTTAAGGCCTTGAGCCAATCTTTAGCTAAGTCTAATTATTCCTTGAAATTTCATGTAGAGAACCTAACAATCAGTAATGTTAGTTCTACGCGAGGCAGTTCGGCAGCATCCAAAACCTTTGGTATCAGTACACTCGTAGCGGCCTTTACGTAACTCACCTCAAATATTAAGACGCCACTGCGAAGATTTCTTTTTGCTCGGTTTTTCATTGTAATATTAATTTAATACTTCAAGCTTGTTTGTGCTCGTGTTTGTTTTTAATAAAAATACTTTTTACACTTCACGGAATCCTGGATTTATTCGTGTACTTATATGCGGAGAGGCTCTTTAAAAGTTTCTATTATACTTTAATTGTCCACTGCGTGTAAGCAGGGGTATACAGATATATATCATTTATAGCTACGGAAGCCATCAGCGACTCCGGAGATATTGTTAAGGGTACTGCGCATCAAGGGTATAGCACAAGCCCATTCGTTCCTGGCTGGTACTTGTTCTATGCTACTTCGATCAATGCATTGTTAGGGACATAATTTTTTTGCTTAAAGCTGATGTTTCTGAAAATAGGCCCAATCTAGTGGGCTAATGAAATTGAAACAGTCCAGTAAAATGCTGCAGTTATGGCCTGAACTGAGAGCCACACTCTTAAGACTAGCCACTATCTAATCTAGCTTTTAACTCTCGCGTAATTATAGTCGCTTTCATGCGCTCAAATGGATCTTTCACTTTTCGAAATATGTGATTGTTGATTTCTTCAGAACTGCAATAACGGAATCAGGTATTAAAGGATAAACGGGTGGCTATCTCACATTGATTAGGTTTATCGCTTGTTCCCATATTGGCTGATAGGACGTGGCTAGGCCTTATAATCCTCGTTAAGTTTTTAATAAAAACTTTACATAATAATTGAACTTGAAGTGGGGACAACAAAGATATGTAACAAAGAAAACCAGTTTTCGTGTAACAGAGTGCATATACAAAAAGGTGACTCAAAAGGGCCATTACATAACGTATCAAATATAGTTTGTTTACGAAACTGGCAATACTTACATTTTTTTTTTTAAATAACGGTAAAATAGGTAGGTATCACACTGCCCAAAACATTATTCATTATAACCACTGCATCATATAATAAGGCCGCCATAATTGTTGATAGCAGTTCAAGTTATTCTTCCTGTTTTTACTAATTGTCCGTGATCCATAATAATAGTCCATAGATAAACGTACTCATCTTAAAGCGCGGATCGGTCTATTAAAATATCGTTCCCGACAATCTAGGCAGACGCGAATATTCATCTTAGCAACATATCGGCAAATGTTGATACTGGCTCACCACGATATCGAATATAGATCAACGAACACCATTATCACAAACCTCTTCAACGATTTTTTCTTCAGAAGAAACCCATCGATATTATCAGCTACGAGTGCTACAGTCAATGCACCGATTGCGATAACAGGTAGTGCCCTCATGGTGGGCCTTCAACAAATTGTTCCTAGAATAAATGTTAACGTTTCTCACAAGTTCTCGTAGAGTTGGAGCGCACAAACGATCTATCTAGAGTTGTCCTTTGGACAGGTACATTGTACGGATAGTAATCATGGGATGTATACGCTACGCTGCATGGCTAGACTGATCTAATATTGAATTGGCTGTATCGGTTTATCTAGTTATCCCAATCCCGGCGGAACGCTTGTAGCAAAATTAACATATTCGATTTCAACAAGATCCGCGTCGTCTAGTCAGTTGGCGCTGCACGCGAAACCCAGGAGAGGGCTTGTTACCGATACAAATATAGGACGCTTTACACCGCTCCGTTATGAAGCTCAAAATGAAGCTATTGCGGTGAGCTAGCTGTCACTAGAAATCATTAGCGGATGGCAGGGAGACGGGGCATCAGCGGCAGATGAACGAATACGACAGAATGGCAAGGAAAGAAGATGGCTGCTGCAGTATTTCACTGGTTTGAGCACCCGCTGATTCATGCCCGACAGATGACTCTTACGCTATTGATAGTAGGCGACGAAATATTTGAGACGCTTTAAATTGACGGATCTGTGCATATGCATACCGTTCTGTGTGGTAAACGTCTATTGCAATAGCTGGAGAGGTGATTGAAGTCAACATGAGGAAAAACTATATCTGCGTTATTAGCTAGCTGTGAAGTGTTCCAGCTGTCGCTGATTTTGGTAAGCTGTTCCTCGTTGGGGATGGGAAACTAGTTTCGAAGTACGCTATGTTCATTGCCAATTTGAGCTACTATTATTTGAATAAACCATGATCATTTGCTGGCAAAAGCGCTGATGTTCGAGACAAATCAATCATGCGTAGAAATAAAGATTCAAGACAGCTTCGGTCTTATGGAAGATTTTCTTCGCAGCTAATTGATTGGGCTAGAGGTGAAAGATTGTTTATTACGCATCGTTAATTTTGCCTAAGCGGTAGAAATTTTAGGTACCACAGTTGACTGCTTTCCTGTTATTTATATTATTTCGTGTGTTAGTTAGCTAGTTGCGACCTTATCGATACCTATTGACAGACACCGAAACAAGCTTTTTGCTCTTTTTAAATAACTAAATGTTCAATTTATGCAATTGTCAAATCTGAAATGTTTAACTGTGGAAACGCAAAGTGTATCTGTCTTGTGTGGACGCATGCAGATCACCGCGTCCCCATCCCTAAGAGACGATGTAATCGGCAGCCGCAGGTAACACGTTAGAACTTTCAATCAGGTAAGTTCTTAGCTCGGAAACTAAAGCGCCATGTGTCAATTAAATACACATATATCGTCGATTCCATTGTTACTATGGGTAAGAATAATTATCTCAAGTTTAGTTACGAATCCACGAAGAATTCGAATAGAATTGGACAGGTGTCGCCCGTTTGTTTCGTTCGGCTTCGTAAGAATACTACTACAGTTACAGCAGATTCCTTTAGCGAGGACGTTGCTAGTTTCACTTAAAAAAAAACACACAGTTTAATTCCATTAGGTGAATCAGTAGCGCTCTTATGGGACAAGATCAGCTCCAATCTTCTCTTCTTCTTCTCCTTGAGCTTTAAAGTAATAATAATGTCTGTGCCAGATCTCTGTAGTGGCCCTCACAGCAGGACACCTCCCAGAGTAACTCAACTAGGTGTCGTAATGAGCTGAAATATCTATCTTATCGATTGTAAAGTAGTATTTTATCGACCACTACTGGGTGATTACTTGCGTTTCAACATGATTTGACACTTCCGTTATGGGCATAGAGGTGACGTCTTTTTCGCCCAAATATTTCTGTTGTTTAGGTTTCAACTAAAGCGTAATAGCTTTTCATTAGAACAACTGGAAGGTGACTGTACATGTACGTAATCTTTGAGTTTTCGGCTGATGAACAATAATCGTACTATTTTAGCTTAGACAGCACAAGAGCTAGCAATAACCAGGTGGCGGGCCAGTTGAAAGGCACGGCTATTGAGGCAGGTATGGTAACTGAAAAACGGCCATGCGGTATCTAAATCAGGACTACACGATTGAATAATTATTAAGACGAAGGAATGACTGAAATAATCAACTCGGATAGGTGAAACATGGCCTTGGCGAGCCCGGTAGCTTTAGAAGTGTCCTGATAAAACATATGGCCCTCATTTTTAGGATAACTCTCCTGCAACAATTCATTGCAAGACTATGTTTTTCTGTTGAATCGCACAGGTAGTTTACTCACACGATGCTAAGATTTTTAAGGAATTCTCATAGCTATGTAGGCATAGCATTGAAAAGCAAGTTAAGGTTCCAACTGTGTACGGTTTAAAGTATGATTTACGTCGACGCGAATTTCTCTACCCTGTATGCGCGTATCGCAAGGGTTATTGAGATTTTGTCAAGCGTCGTATGAGCCTTTTCAGGATATTGCTTAATTTGTATAGGAATCGTCACAGATCTGATCTGAGGATCTGCACACTGAAAACAGGTCATACGTCCTTCTATTAATCTGCTTACTGCGGCGCGTATATCGCATAACAACAGATTTTTTTTCTAGTTTATCGACGTTGTAATGTAGCTCGTGCGTTACGATCCTACTTCGAAGTTGATTTTTATGTGGGGCACAGTATAAGGAAATCGAGGTTCTATTTGGACTGGAAATAGAAATTATGCTATGCGTTATTTAAATCTCGGGGTGGTGCTTTAGACGGCCAAACTTGCTTCAAAGACTATTACTTCAACTTAATTAATTAAAAGTCAGATATTGACATGGCATTCATTAGTCTTCCTTCTTAGACCGCGTTATTCTAAAGAGCATTACGCTGAAACGCAGTTATAGAAAAGTTCCCTTTAAGCGGAAATGCTTTTCACGGGTTATTATCAGGGAATGATGATAGCTCACACGAGCTTCTAACAATTGTAATTAAATTGATTAGAACAGAATGCGAACCCGCGAGCTCCTTGGAATTTTTTTCATCACAAAGTAAGCCTGATTGCTATTACACTTTCCTCCTATGTAAGGTACTTTTAAGGCATTCTAAGTATAGAATTAAAGGTACTATGTGCACTTTCATAACAAGTGAGCATGATCATATTTGCTTAAGATGGCTTATATATATAACGGTGGCACTCGCAACAGAAGGGACGGACCTACAAGCTACCCATAGAAATCACTGCTCCTCTCTGCCAGTCGGGTCAAGATAGACAATCCGGCCAAAACAGTTGCAAGCTATCAGATCTCAGCATACACAGTCTAATAAATCGAGCCAAAGTGTACACATGCTGATAGGCCAGAGTCGTGAGGATAATGGGCAAGTGAAATAAACGAGGAATCCTCCGGTATGACAGTCCAATGGCTCAAATGGTTAGGAACAGGAGTACAGCATCAGCATCAGAGGACAGCAAACAATTAATGAAATCCAACTGCCAATAGTACTGAATAGAGAAAACCAGACACCAGCAATTCGTATTTATCCCGAACCCGACGAACGCTTCGAGTTCATGACGAACGAACGTTGTAAAATGCTATACACCTCGCGTATAGGATGAGCAATTACCTTTCATGGGAACATGCACCCGAGCTAGAACTACGGGAATGCGGAGATGCGTGGGAGATAATTAAGAAACGGACAATATTATTGGTAATTGACCGTGGTGCCAAATCTACAATCACATAAATGGAACAAATACGATCGGGAGCATCCCTGCGGCAGTTTGCGAAAAGGTTACAAGCATGCTCGACCGAAGGATCATTCCAAAGCTGTACGGCTAATACCTCCAAAAGAAGCACCAGTATCCCTGTAACGGACCTCAAAAACAACATCAGAAAGACGACCATTGAGAATCTAGACCTATTTGATTGACACTGCTAACATAAACGGTAGGCTCCGCTGGCGCACGCGACACGAGCTAATTCAGAAGCTAGAAACGATTCACCGAATCACGCTTCGTACAATTCAGGAGGCAAACAACAACTGCAATCGTTCGGTTCCGGTATATTTATACTAAGTCTACGTGACGATAACGGCCCTCCGGGCTGTAAAATGGCCAAGGCTCTTTAAGTGACCAAAGTAATCATTCGCTCAATTCACTGATAAAAATTGACCCGATCAGTGTGGTCAAAGGAAAGTTCATCCTATGGAAGAGTGACTAACGACCGCCTTAAAATCAATCGAGATACGATTCTACTCACAATCCAAAATACGAAGAGAAGGCGTAAACGACAGGAAGATAACGCTATCGAAGTGACAACCCATTATATAATTAACGCGAAGATTAAAGGTCTTAGAACACGAAAACGTCGACTTTGTAAATGACAACGAAGATCGCATCCCGTGTTATCGATTGATCTGACCAAATCATCGTGCGTCTCCTTAAGCACTAACTAACGAACTTGAACGTATACTCGTTAACCCATGCAAGATAGACATTCGATTATTAGAGAGAAATTTATACTTCATTAAAAATCGCAATGCAAACAATGCTAAATAAACACTATTCTAAATAGCTTTAAACACAAACGATTAACTAATGAAAAAAGTCTACGGCCTGATAGCGGCTTTAAATTTCAAAAGGTCGCAGTTCGCCGGGTACTCGCGTACGTGGAGAGGGAATTATTTACATGTACGCTTCACAAAGCAAGATTAAATGGAGTAGTCTAGAAAAACCGTGGTCTAACCGAGTTCACAAGTGCCGTACTCAGAGATACCAACGAGCCAAGTAGTTCTATGGTAAAATCGTACAATGTATTAGACCTCTCATGACTATGACTACCGTCAGCTTATCTATGGACTAGACTTCATTCGAAATGATCTACGGCTATCCTGGATACTGGAAAAGCAGAAGACGGTACGGTCAAGAGATGTCAGCTTCGAGCAAGACCCACTAATACTTATGCATCAGACACAATCTTCAACAATCACAAATGAGAAATTATATGTAGTCTAACTGGCCACAAATTTTAACACAGGGGAGAGGTTTAGTCCGACTCTAAAGAGAAGAACACTACTAATAAAGAAGACAAAATTTCAGATTAACACGACGCGGAGAAGACGGGATCGAAGCTAGATAGACAGCTTAGTGATAGATTCAGACTAAATAAATCGGTTCCCTTCGAATTCTAAGTGAACATCCTACTAGCGTAAAAAAGCACTAACGTCAAATGAAAGGACCCGCAATGAACACAGAAATGTAGTCATTTAAAAACAGTGAAGTCAGGACTCTAGCCGAACTAAATCCGTTAAGATCAGGATATTACGATGGGAAATAGAAGCGAACAGAACCGTCATGTGCTACAAAGCCAGATGCGTGACACGAGGCTTCAGTCAGCTCACCGAAAAAGGCTTCTTCCCACATAATGTATATGTGGTGGCATCTAGATTTAAGACGATACGCCATTTTTGCCATAAGCCGGAAACTTAGACAAGCACCAATAGACAAACTGACGTAAGAGATTCTTACTTGAGCAGTCCGATTTCACGTAGACCAGAAGGATAATACGACAGCAGTGATCGATACTGCAGATCAAATAGGCCGTCTAGGGTCTCCATCAGTCTGGAAGAAATTCAAAGGAGCATTGACACATGCTGGCCTGCAACAAAACCCAAAATATATCAGCTTCTACTTTCTGCACTAGAATGGACTAACAGTACCTTGTAGTTTAGTCGATGACATGCTGATTGCAAGCGATCAACATGAGGCAATCAATAAAGCGATAAATACTGCGAAAAAGCACTTTGAAGTAACGGGCAGCCATAATCCTACTTCCTGGCTATGAATGTTGCAATCCATGAAAACCAGGATATCGTCCTATGTCAGGAAAAATAGATTAGAAAAATGCTAGAACGTTTCGAAATCTCTGAGTGCAGACCAGCAGACCTACAGTTGCGGGCAATGGCAATGAGAAAAGGAAAGCTGATCCAGATTTACTCCACTGATAGCCACTCGGTAGTTTATAGTAGTCCGCCGTGTTTAGATCTGGCATAATTTCATAGCCGAATTTTTGCCTCGATATTTAGACAAATGCACCGAATATCATTTCGGATTATAAATGCAAGTACTCAGCTATTTCCAGAGCACTAAAAATTACGGTCTAATTATTAAAAGAAAAAAGGGCGCTATCACTCCGAGGATACAGCGACGCTGATTTCGGAATGAACATCGTAACGAGACAGAGCGTTACCGGTAAAATAATCACCAGAACGTTGTGAGGTAAAGCTAAAATTTAGAAAGGACAGTTTCATCAAGTACCTGTGGGTCGGAACTCAAAGTGGCTTGCCAGTGTTCGAAGTCCTTGATATGGGCACGCCGACTATTGCTGGAATTAGGACACGATCGGTTGCTTCGGCCGCCTACATAGACAGCCAGCTCATGCAAGCCTAGATAGCTTCTCCGACGTACCAAACACCTAAACACACGCCTGTACGGCAGAAAGGAGTTATTCAACGACAACCAATTAAAGATCGAGGTCATAAGCTTATCAAAAAGGCAAACACCTGCCCTCAGAACGACAAAGAAGCCTGAGATTATCCACAATAGAGTTGCTCCCGAGACAATCGTAAGAATTAAAAGATTAGGAGGACAATGAGATGCGCACGGTTCAGTGATGCACTGCCCCGATAAAACGGACGAGGGGACACCCAACGCGCGTAGAAGTACTTACCAGGTACTCCTGGTGCGTGCAACGTGACAACCGAGCCGGTTTATTTTAATTGTCGTCACTGCAGAAATCACTGCGAATTTTAAAGGAAAGCATATACGATAACGCACGTTCGGTGCAACCCGTTTCTGGACATATGCTATGGTACTCAGCGTGAGCGCAAGCAAAAAATATTTCCAGTGACCGTGTGCTTGTCCTTAAACAGCGCGCCCTCAAGCTGTCCAAAAAATTTACAAGGAGCACATTTATCCCAATCCAAAGCTGGACGAAAGGCCATACACTTACATGAATGCTAGTAAACAAAGTCTGTTATTTCGACAGGAGAAATTGCTATCTTCGTAAAACTGACAGAACCCGGATAGCACCCGTCCTATCTGGATTAGGTAATTTCACCCGAGAGGGGCAATGCGATAATGTACGCATACGTCTCCATTTTTGCCCGCAGCTTCTTGACCGAAGCAGGCAAAAAAAAAGAACCGGTCATATCTTAGCCCGCGTTATCTAATGAACTTCGTAACTGTTATACGTATCCACGTCAAATCGACTAAACCAATCCCGTTATCCATCAGCGCGTTGGTGGGTCACGCACTCGTACAATCGAAGTCTAAACTGGGTTTATACGCCGTAGCGAGTCGTAGTAAATACAAAAGAAGACGACAATTACGCTGTTTAGTTACGTTTAATTTTGTTTGACCCGGCCAAAGTTTTCAGCGAATTGCACCCATGAAACAGTTGATTTGCAAAAATCGCTAATAAAAAATGTGTCTTGAATCATACCGAAGCACAGTACCTGATATCCGATCAACTTGTATATGCTAAGAGCCTGCGAGTCGTGAAGGGACTTAGGACTCTATCTAATAATAGACTAAAATCTAAACGTACAGCTCGGCCTCTTGAGAAATCGTTAACATCTTTATTGGTCTTTTTTTCTATCATCGGGTGCGCGCCTTTGATTTCCTGCTGAACAACATCCGAAAGAAGGTTTTCTTTTTTTTTTTGAAAACTCCTCTGTTCTTTTGAACTTCTTATTGTTAGTAATGATATTTCCCTGTAAAATCTGCAAAACCTTATTCCGCTCGGTGTGACAGCTCTTTAATTTTTTAATATAATATGGTAATAATAACGTAATATAAAGGTAATAATTTTTCTTCAATAGACATCCGCCCTGTGCTATAGAAGCCTCGTCAAATTCAAATACCGTATTATTGGAGATCCTTTGTAAATAGAAACGCTTGCCTCCAATGGAAAGCCAATGTGCTCATGGCTTTTCGAACACGGACTTTACTTACACATACTTACCGCAGTTGTGTAGGGCCTTAATCAACCAGCGTGTCCTAACTGCAATATACATGAAGTTTACATTGTGCCGTGTCCCTGTTCTGAGGTCGAAACCAACTTTAATACGATTTCCACAGCAAAAGGAAACCCATTTTTATTCAGCCCAGATCTGAGAAAAGCCTAGCCGTTTTCATATGTTTCTGCCGTATCTGATCTTCTTCGAGCAACGAGGCACGCTGCCGTAGTCTGAGTGGTTACCTGAACGGCTTTAAGCACCTAGTGCAGGAATGAAATAAGCTTAATGAATAGAAGATCACCTTATTTAGTTCAATGTTATGATTTTTATTAATAAATATTGTGGCTTAATAAATACTGCGTATATGGTATTTTTTTCCAAAAATACGAGCAGGGTTGATTGAAATCTGGCAGTTACGAGTATGCATTCCATCTATGCTACGCTTGTGCATGTAACACAAAATAGATAAACCCATCTTGAATTTCATTGAAACGTATCCAACACAACCGTGTTTTCAACCGTTGAAATTGTACGCTTAAACGCATCTCTTAAGCGGGCGACAGTGCTTAAGAAAGGTGGAGTCGGGACATCTAGACCGCTAGGGTATTTCAGGCTGCCTTATCTATACCAACAATTTAACGCAATTAGTGTTATGACGCCGCTTCAACTTGCGATATTTTCTTTATGCAATTATACTATCGTGTAAAAAGTTTTTCAAAACTTCATCCTTCATAGCTCATCGATACGTTCCTGAGAGACGATTTCCCTTTGATAATCTGTTTAAAATAATTTGCAATTCGAAGTCACAAGTACATGAGCCTCGCTGCTTTGACATAAATCAATATCGAAACCTATAGACTGATACCGATACTCGTTTCTCCGCGATACACGCAGGGCCCAAGGAGACGTAATTGATAGTTAGGCCCGACATGTTTGAAAAGATAAAACTAATCCATTGTGCTGGCATGTTGCCACATATTGAAATTGTGGAACGTCCTCCAAAAGTTACAGTTGTCCTTGGATGGAGAATCGCGATGACTGAATCCTTGCGTCGAAATTCGCAAGTAATCCGGATGCTTCCTCGAGAAGCGCGGCCAAGTTTGTCCCTTTGGGGTTACTGGTTTCCTAAACGCAAAAATCGCCAAGTGAGAAATAGTAATTCTAGGATCCTAAACAAGGAACTTGCGTTGCGTGCAGGATATCGATACCTTTGAAGTAATCCTAAGAGACACATTCCTGCTAAAGACCGTAGGATCAGAACAATTCTTCAGCGGTACAAAACAGACGCTACCGTATGACACCCTGCACGTTTAACGTATTTGTCTTCACTACTGAGACTACATTACAGTACCTTTGTACCCGTCATTTTTTAATACGTCATTTTAAGTTGTTGCCTAAATACTCCGAAATCCAAACGTTTTTAATTCTGAAATTTTTGGCAAGGAAGGCCGACCCAAGTTGCTCTAAGGGTAATTTATGAGTGGACGCTTTGATAAATAGAATTTTCACATATTACTATTAACCGATAAATGTCACTGGAGATAAACATGCTTGAAAACTCGTCATTTCCATCACGTGTACTTGTTTAGATGGAAATTTTTACAATGCGATGAAATAACTTTTTTTTTTAATTGCTTCGACCATTTATATGATACTATGTAGACCAAAATCGATTAGGTATAAATATAGCCTGGCTATATTTATACCTAATCGATTGTAACAAATGGAACCAGACGTATTTCGACCTCGCAGTCTCTCTAGCCAAATTTCGACTTCAAAATACCGAAAAATTGACCGCATTAATTTAAATATCGGCTGATTACTATATTAGCTATATAGAAGTGTGTAATAGCAGTAGTACTTTGAACCTTACATCTAGAATAAAGTGTATACCCTATACATTTTTATTTTTTTTGATGATGACCATTTTGCGTCAAAGGCATACTTTCTTCATTCTCAACAACGATGAAGATCAAGTATTACTTCGCCGTAATTTTTCAGTTTTTACTAATTTTTCCGTTAACGTTTGGTATAGTATTTTTTAAATACGACTACGTTTTAGGTTAAGGACTCTAGGAAGGTCTCTCTTCGACAGTTGTTCAAAGGTATTGCCAATTTGGTCCAGTTTGAGAGCGATATGACATTCGAATAAATGAATTATAAAATAAAATTATAAATAAATTTACAAAAATTCACACCCTATGCTTGTCGATTGATAAAACATTTGACGTTCTCTCTCACCCCGTCTTAGCGAATGATGTCCAGGCATCCATTATCGAGGCGCTCAAGTCTCTCTCCGAGGTCGAATATGCTGATGATTGTATGAGCGGTGCACCGAAGACAAACGGGATCTCATCCATATGGCTTGCTCCAACCCATAGAGGCCAAGCGGAGGGTAGCGTTCGACGCTGAGACGAGTGCGCGAATCTGCGCGATAGCAACACATTACTTAATAGCGTAAGCGGCACTATAAATACGGTGCCTAGCTTTTAAAAGGATACAGTTAACGGGTCTTTGTTTATGATAGGGATTGCACCAAAAAGGAATACTAACATAGACGTTTTGTTTTTCGGTAGCGTCATTGTCTGCCATTTTGCCTACGTCATCGTTTGACACCTCCCGTTCCACTATCATTTCGCCGTATCCTACCTAATGGCCCCCTAGAGTTATTTCCCTTTTATGCTTTGGCCCTGTGAGCGTCGAAGAGGTAGTCAGGCCCACTAGGCGCTTATATATGCTAATGTGTATGCATGTACGACAAAGTCAATTCTAGCGTTCATTGTTGATAGCTTCTATGAAGCACAATTTCTAAAATCCCCCGATAGCGCCTTACAATATTGCAATGCTTCAACTGAATACAAGCCTGCGAGCAAACCTAGCTGCTGGAGAAATGCATGAATCGGTCTGATAAATTCGAGATATAAGGGTACTATTGCTCCACCAGGTATTGAGATGACGATATGATACATACAACATGTTGACCTACACTAGTATGTAGCAGATACAAGAAAATTGCCCTACTTTTTTGCCACAACTGAATTAACTGTGGCATTGTCAAAAAGCTTGCTTGAGTCTTGCATGTGTGATTAGGAGTATCGCGATTGTTTGCTTTTGATACAGCATTTATTTGCCGGTTACCGCCACTTAAACTGTTTCAACGTAAACGTCGAACGTAACAATACAGACCTCTTGTTGACCGGTCTCAGCATTCACAACGGTTTCGTTAGCGAAACGAAAAAAAAAAAAAAAAAAAAAGTATAAGATGCAATGTCGGCAAGCGTAAACAACTCGAGCAGACACCCCCTAATGGTAGCCCGCATGTAAGGAAGCCTATGGCCAAGGAAGTGGGTTGCGGTATGTAAATAGGGTTGGAAAAAAGAACGGAACAAATCTTGAAAACCCGAGCTCGTTCTAGTTTCATCCCTCCCTTGCTTAGGGAGGGATGAAACTACAACGAAAAAAAAAAAAACGGAGGGAGGGATGAAACTCCATCCGTGTTTTGGACGATATTACGTTATACGAGAGAGGCGGGTATAGGTACTTCAGCTTTTTTTCAATCTCTCTGTATGTTCGGAACTAGAATTTAGCCTGTGGTATTTGTCACGAGTTGAAGTCGAGCATTCGTCTTCAGCGTGCTAATGTATTTGGCGTTTGTCTGGTGTTCACTTCAGATAAATGTCTAACTATTAGATAATAGTAGATCCCGGTAAGTTTCGATGAGACCTGATCGGTGTAATTGCTACCACATTAGTCTAGAAGCTCTGAAAAGGGAACAACGATACAATAGTGGTCAAGCTAGTTTGAAAAAACAGCCTCAAAAGGACCGGATGGTTGTTCGCTCATTGTATCTTTTGTTTAAAAAATAACTTCAGCATATCGGGCATTTGCCCTGAATCAGTAGGAACATCATCAGATCGCCATCCGTCCTTAGCCGCCTCCATGCACTAACCAGCATTTCAATGGCGGAGGTTCTGATAGAGGACCATTTTGACACAGGTCAAAGATCTCAGTGTATCCACATACGTTTTAACGGGGCTCCTATACTTTCTACAGCCTCTTCTAGCGGATCGTCTCGCCATCTAAAACAATACATGGAGCAGCAACCATCAGAAGTACCATCTCAGTGTTGCCCAACTGCATTTAAATCAATGCAATTTGAATGAGCACGGTATACACTAGGAAAACAGATCGGTCGATATTAAAAATGGTCGGAGAATCCGTATTTTTGCGTCAGATATACTATAACGGAACTAGAGTTTGATTTCAGAGAGGAGACTTGACTGTATAACGGCGCACTTTTGAAAATCGAATACTCGGATGGGGTTGAGTTCCAGAAAGAGCATCGAATAACTAAACGACGCATGGTTTCGTTGGAACAAAGACGATCGCCATTTTAGGCTTTCGCCAAAGGGATACAAAGCATCTCCCACTAATAGCATGGTCGAAGTATCTCTGAGTACACTTGATCGGTAATCTGATTTATTAATCGGGAACTAGAGGCTATTTTTGTGGAATTTTGACTACTTTTCGTGTCCTCAATGTAGGCAACTGAACACATTAACAAAATTCGTTATATAAGGGTACACGTTAGTCGTGGATGAACAAAGGTTCAATCCGATGAAACAGCCTATGTCGATTGATTACACAGCATTCGGCCTAGTTTCAACTGCAGCTTCTTTCTTTCTTCTCTGAAGGATGATATTGATAGGCCCAATGGAAGGTTCCGGCTTTTATCCTATCACCGACTGGAGCAGTTTGTATTATCATAAATGTCCGAGGGTTAAGTGTTACCTTACAAGTGCCTAATTTTGTACCTGTAGTAGTTGACAGAAACATTTCGGTCAGCGAGGGCCTCCGCGAAATAGGTCAACGGACAGGTGTGAACGAAATCACCGATGAAGTCAAAGGCGAACTGTCGATTGTGCTGGACATCGTTGCCTCGCAGGTTTGAAGCAAAGTAATAGTAAATACCCTCGGTTGCCTTGGCACCTGTGAATCGAGCATGAAATTGTTCGCCGTGGGAAATAACTGATTCATTTGGGGGGACAAAGAAAAGAATTAGTATATCACGCCATATACAGGGCTAACTGGTTTATTTTGAACGCTCTCATTGTCTTTAGCGTTGTATTACGCAACAATAAAAGGTTCGAAAATTTTTGACAGGCTAGCGTGCCGCAGAAGCTCTTGGAGACCGTATCCTGAACAATAAAAAAGTTTGCGTTACGATATACCTTACTGTGATATTATCTATGCTTTTATACATTCTAGTCGTTTATGATGGTCGGTTTTGTGACGCACAACTTTTATAGTTGTTTTTATAGTTGTTTATAGTTATAAGTAATTCACGCCGAAACTGGTCACAGAGTTGATTCTGATATGATACGAACATTGGGTACTTGAACAAAGTGGTGTTGAATGGGTCTTACTTCATCCCAACATGAAGTCCAGTCAAGCAAAATGTTTCTTAGACCGTAAGCTCTGCGTTGAGATTTACGGTCAAAAAAAGCAATTAAACAAGATTACTATGGTGCACCCGAAACCCATCCAGTTATTTTCGGATGTTTCTCTGTCGATGGGGTGCAAGTGATGCTTTCACTGAGTAAAAACGTTATGCATCCAACGTCGATAGACGTTTATAACCTATATTACGTGCTCGACCTGGATAGGGTGCTGTGATTAGTTGACTTTATTGCGTGACAGCTTGCCTCAATATAGCAAATGCCCAAGTAAGCCTTCGTAGCAATTGCAAAGACAAATTACACAGGATGATTATATCGGTCTAGCCCATATTGGGTTTAGGTCAGAAATTTATGTTCTTATTATTCCGTTCATTTTCTGTAAACCGATTTGCCCGTTACAATTATTTTGGTAGAAAAGAAACGGAAAGATCATTATTTTTCTTTCTAGAGTCATCTATGCAAGTTAGAATGGACCCGGTATGTGCAGCATGACATAATAAAATGCTACCATAATGAATGCAATGTATTTTATATGCGATATTATACAGGGAGTTCGAAAAGTCGGATACAGTAATGGAACTTAAATCAAACTTTTAAAAGGTTAATTGCGCTAACTTTTTTCAATACACTGTTTACATAGTGAATGATGTTAGTTAGTGATTGCTGCACAATAGAGTAATGCCGAAGTTCTTAGCACATTACCTTTCCAATTGATATACGACTTAGAGTAAGATTCCTAACTTTTAATTCAGTGAAGTATTTCGTCTCTGATGTGTAAAATTCAAGCTTCGGGACTGGACTGCGAGAGATGTTCAGCGTCTGGTTTAGCTCAGACAACTAGATCTGCAGGACCTAAAAATAAGACCTATTTCCATTGTATCAGCAAATGCTGAATAAGTAAATGTAAACTAGATCCTCGATTACGACCTCGACCGACGATTAGCCTCGTCTTACGAAGTTCATGGGCAGCAGTCAAAGGCCTCACACGGCCATTTTATTGCGAAAAGTCACGCCATAGTAATTGATCTGCTGTGAAGATAACCGACCAATAAATGGCAATGATGGCGCTACCTTTTCTGCTTTTATAGATCATTGATATGGACAAATTCGCTATAGCTCGTAATAATTGTATTTCATCTACTATCAGTAGCAACTTTTCTTTTCGAAGGAGAGTTCACTCGTTTCGAGTGATCCAGCGCTTGTTCAGCACATTCAGATCTCTAAGGGAGAGAACATCGACAAGGCTCATATGCTGCCCGGACATGGTACAAATTGAAAGATGGCTACGTCTGTGGCGCCATCACAAGTTAAAAATGGTGCAGTAAAGATCCTGCTCTACTAGCCCATATTTTCGGCATTTTTCGACCGAGACTGTACTTATAGTTGTAAAAAAATTGTCGAAAGCCACGCCGCGATAACTTTGGCTATGGGCCATGGCCCACAGCCAAAAATGGAACGGCTGACTTCAAGGCTCAGACATCGCATGCCGCTCAACTGGGTAAAAAAAACGTTGGCCGACGTCCAAGACGCCCGAATAGAACCAAGCATCTTGAAAGATGTACCCTGCAGGTCCCTTGCAAAACAGAAATTTCGTGAGAAGATTGTTCACACAAGGTCCGTGCGGGCACGCTTGGCGAGTTCGCTGCTATCTACTTGTATGTCGGTAGTACTGCGCACTTATCTAGCACGGAAAGGACATCTCACTGGCGGAAAATGCCTAAAAAATGTAGAGTTATCAGCTGGTGGTGCTACAGCTTACATGATACCGACGAATAAATTAGGAGGTAGAAACTGTCCTAGTCTAAAAATATTTTTTTTTTTAACAAATGTTGGATATCAGGTCCGATAATCTCGGTCTATCAGTCTCGTCCGAATAGAAGGGATTACGATAAGGGCCGCTACAAAAAAATTTACTACGTTTTAGTTTGACTATTTAAGTTAAAGGTTACATATGCAAAAGTTAAAGATATCCCACATACATAGAATACATTGTTACTCACCGATAAGGTTCCGGAAGCGGAACTCTTCGAAGAAATTTTTGATAAACTTCAGTAAGTTGATGGCTTTGAAGTTGTCACCGTCGGTGAAATTTTTCCAGTGGTTTGCTTTCATAAACTCCCATGCGCCTTCATTGTTATTTGAACCTGTTATGAGAAGACCATTTCTGAGGTATTGAAATTAAATTGTAAGGAATATGTTGGGATATTAATAACAATTTTTCAGTGGTGCGTTGACGAGGTCTGCCCGAGTGTCGTCTGTATCCGTTAGTGATCAAGGGAACACCCCAAGTTCTATTTTGCTGTTGAACACATTATCAAATCAAAAATGTTTGTGGTCTGCCCCAGAAAGAAGTAGCCCCATAAATATGTTATGAACACATGCCCCTTACCGATAAGTACTTCGACATCGTTGAACAGGCCCATTGCAGCCGACATATGTGGGTTAAGCGGCAAGAACTCGTTATCGTACGTTGGCCCAATTAAATTAGCTGCCTCTTCTCCTCCGCGAGCTGCTGAAATCTCGCCGTAGTCCAGACCTATTACAGTTGTTGTGTAAACGGCAGGAGTGAATAATTGAAAGAAGACGAAGAAAAAAGTCCAAATGGTAGCCACAGCATCGAAAATGTGGCAGAGCCGATGGTTGTTCGAATAATCTGTCGTTTACACAATGAATACTTTTCATTTATCCACCCAACCTAATAGTGGTGATTAAAGAAGCTTCGAACTTACCTTTATAGACTCCGTCGTCAAAGGAGAAGCTTCTTAGGGTCTGTCCGTCCCGGTGCGGTGGAATTGGCCGATTCGCAAAGCGACTTTCGCGCGGAAAAGATGAACAATCGGTTATTTTCCCGTTGCCCTGAGTACCCAAAGGGAAGTGTCCTACTCGACGATGAGTAAAATCGATAATTAGTATTAAGAATGAAGATAGGGACACTTTATGTGGTCACCCATATAAGTTTTCTAGTATTTTGAGTTATATCATGCCCATATTCTGAAAATCGCCCATCATTTGTGAGAAAATCAAACAAGTTTTCCAGTCTAATATAACCTACGAAATGAAGATATTATGTTACGATGACTTTAACTTAAAACCTTCTTCTCCGAAAGGTAATACGCATCCATGATGACGCCTTCATATATTGCTAATTACTTTCTTTATTTACATAAGTGGTGCAGCACTTATGCGTCGTCGACGGTATCGAAGCAGTGACTCCCCATAGTCTCTTTTGATAAAGGTTGCGCCGTCAGCCTTCCCGTGTTTCGTTCGTTAGTTAGTTTGTACCAGCGAGGATTTCCTCAGCACATTGGGGCGTTTGGACATTTTGTACACGTTTCGGCAACATCTTCGACTATCGTAAATATTTAGCGCGTAGTGAACCAATGTTAAAATAACATCACTCTGCACAGATGTACGGCTCTGCTTTATGTATGTACAGTCAACAACACTGTAAGGAGACTTGCAGGTATACCGAATACAACCTAGCGACGGGGCAGTATGATTGAGGTACCCAGTTTACGGCCAATAAAATTATTTAGATGAATGTATCATAGTGGAATATGTATAGAAAACGTGTCACAAAGACACGTTTTCTATACACATGATTGCTATTGTAACGCACATAAATTAGCTACTCTGTAACAGCTGATTCTGATAGGAATTTTGCTTACATATATTACACAACGAGCTACTTTCAAATAAAATGATTGCTTTGTGTTCTTTTTTTTTTTCTTTTTTTTTTGCTTAAATTGATTCGTATAATTGTACCATGGAAAATAATAATCAAAATACGTCAAAATTCAATCTTGACCGGAATATCGCATTCAATTAGGAACATTTAGGACAGTTGGGAAAAATCAGAGCTTGTTTCTTCGTCTCGCGCCTAGTGGAATTATAGCTTTGATCGTTAAGTTGGATGGTACGGTGAGGTTGAATCAGTTTTCTCTAACTTTGCGTTAGAAAAGTATCCGAACGAAGTGTCGCAACGTCGACGAACCGCAATTGCCATTATGACGATGCTCGATGTCTGTGCCTCAAAGGACATAATAGCGAATGTATTTAATAGAGATGATTAAGAGTGAAGAGGTCTAGAACTATGTGATATCAAGCATGGCCTTGGACCCGTAAACCCAATTTGCCATATACTAAGCCATATTGCCCGACTCGGGTGCTACGACACGTCCCTACTTAGTGTAGCTTTTCTCGTTAGTCTACGAGGAACAGGCCGTACTGCCCCTGTGCAATCTCTCGTCTGATTTAACGTTAAGCACCATATCCTGTAACACGATGTCATTGCATTAAGTCAATTTACGCGAGGCTGCAAACGTGAAAAGATAATTATATCTCATATCACTGTACCATTGCATGTGATTGAACATATGGCTAAATCTAGATACATATTTTATGTACGATTCCTACCAAAGACTACTTAAAAAACAAACTAATCCAATCGAAAAGTTTTCAGATTTAACCTTTAATCAGCCATCAATTTCTAATCTTTGAGTTGGACCGATTCGCACATCAGTAAGCCTGACGACACTGCCTTCTTGTAAGAGCGACGTGTCTTCTAAAAGGAATAAAGGGGTTCGATGACGCTGATGAATATACCGGTGGAATCGTTGCCGTGCTTCTATATCAAAGCTAAGCTGATAATAATGAACCTGCAAAAACGTAGCTGTCACCAACTGTTCTATGGTGGCCCCATGTCGGATGTGTTCCTTCCCTTTGTGAACGCTTTCTGTCTACACGTGATTTTACACAATTGACAGAACGATTGTTAGCGTTTCCCATTATCACTTGGTTTCTCGGTCACTTCAACCGCTGTTCCAGTCGTTCTCGTTTGTCGCAGGCTTAATACGAGTGGCTTGCTCGTTTGTACATTGCATTGATTTCAGACTCGCTTTTCGCTTATAAGTGGCGTTTCTTCGTCGTGATGCCCCTAAAAGCTGGGTCGCCCATGGGCTCCCAACGTACCCTAATACTGAGGTCTTAGTTTCACAACGGAATGAAGTCACTAGAGCGGAATGAAGGTACCTAAGGCCAAGCTCTCGAGAATAACTGCGGCCGTTTTCCAATGTATCTTCCTGTTTCTCTTGCGCCCCTTTCTTTTTACCCCTCTTTCCTTGCATGATTTATGTTTATCTAAAATACTAAAATATTTTAAACCTGACTAACAAAAGTAGTACACACAAATGAAACGTAACGTTACTAAAGATATTGGGGTGAACGTCACATGGCCTCAACCTGGTGAAGTGCACGACAGCGAATTTGAAGGCTTCCTAGAATCAGCAGCTTTTTACGCTGTGGAATCTCTTGTAGGCAGGGATGGAAGCAGGAGTTAATTGAGTTTACTGTTTTTTTGCAGTCTGGTAACCTCGCTGGCGAGCTCTATTGTGTCACTATTGCTAATTGCAGAGGGTTTAATTGTAAAGAAAAAAAAATGTACTAAGCTAACAATGCTGGCAACTAGTCATGTATATGAATATTGCAGAAAGACTCTTTCCTCGAAACCTAAAGCTCATCTGACAATTTTTTCGTATCGTACGTAACGGTACTGCAATTGCAGTACATACACTACAAATAGCTCATCCAAATAGATCATATAGTCTATCATCTCATCAAATAGATAATAATTTGTCGCAGTAACGATAACCGGTGAATTTATCATTATAACTGAGATCAGACACGAAGGCTCTCGGTTGTGTCTGACTGGATCTAATCAAGTTTGTGTAGAGAAACCACAGGGTAAAAGAAGCTCTCGCTAGTGTTGCATGAAAAGCGCGTACTCTAGACAAGTCTCTCTATTTATCTGTCCTCTCAAAAGCCCCAGGTGAGAAAAAAAAATACATTTTTTTTTAAAGTCCAGCCATCTTGTGCTAGGTACCAGTGGAAGCCAATGAGCTGACGTCATATATGTCAAGTAGTAGGAGTGTTTTACTGCCGAATTGCTTATATAAACTAGGCGCGATTATTTCGGTTCTCTACCATATAGAGGACGAGAATATTCACATCATGTTTAATAGAATAGTCGCTAATAGTCAAAAGGTACTGTGAAAAACGGCCTTGGATCGGGTCGTTACGTGTCTGATTTGCGCACTCGTATCGCATCGGCACTGTTTAACGCTACTTCGTTAATGTTCTCCGCCGCGTAATCTTCGAATGTAGATCTTCAGCGATCTTCAGTCGATATTCGAGGCAATAAAAATACAATCAATATTTTTTTGTTGCGTGTTTTCTGTTTCTAATGACATATTCGAAGTCTCACCGATGTCGAGCGTGGTTTGTCTAAGCTTCCAGAAGGCGCTGCCACTTTGGAGAATTGCTCTCTTGAAGAGTCCGGCACTCAACGGTGAGAGAATGTGTAACCCGACGGATGCCGCGCCCGCATCGTTCCCAAATAGGGTTATCTATACGTAAAGAGGGATCACGTTTGTTTATCATTTTATATTTCTAAAATCTATCCAATGTTGCAATAGTTGTTATGCCACTCTCGCTGGTGCATCGTGCGGAGCTATCAGCGGTAAAACTCGCGAACAGTAAATTCTGTTCGTCGTAATAATACAAATATTACTATTACCCAAAGCACCGTCATCTTTACGCCATCGCGTTGCTTTTGTCAGTAGCGTTATCTTCATTTTCTTGAATACTTCTACTCGTTACTAATAGCACATGACTAATCAATACAGAGCGAAATCATCTTACCTGCTCGTGATCGCCGCCAAAGACGGCGATGTTGTCGTGGATCCATTTGAGGGCCAAATTTTGATCAAGCAGACCTTGGTTACCGGGTGCGCTGCGGCTCTTGGCGTCGAGGAAGCCAAGTTTGCCTAGACGATAGTTCATTGACGTCACAATGACGTCTCCAAAAGCAGACATCAGACCGCCTTCATAGTCTGGCCATGACGCTGACCCAAGCAGAAAATCGCCCCCGTGAATATAAGCCTATGGATAGACAAAAGTCAACAAGAGAGAAATAATACTATTTTTGTAAACTCTAACAGCGTTGGTCAGAGATGAACTGCTCAGATCTTTAGGTGCCGTTACCTTAGAGACATTTTGGATTACATATGCATCGTCGTTGGCTTCCATTACATTTGACGAATTAATTTTGAAAAAAAAACGCGCTGGTTAACGCTTTTCTTACCTGCTAAAAGCACCATAGATTCTGAAAGCTATAATTGATAATGCCTAGTGAAAGTTTGAACGACTCGACGATTACGTGACGATCATATAGGGCATCGTGATTCAATATTTATGTGTAATTCCCTTAGCGTATCTACAAACGTGAAGCTACGTTGGTTTACTTAGTGGACTGCATCCTCGTATCGAACTTGGAGCGTGTTTCTCGTGGCTGTGATATCATATTCGTTTTGCCTCTGGACAAAATCTAGAAATATCCTAGATAGACCCGAGGGCAAGCACCTGTTACGCGATGCATCCTCAGCTACTACCAAGCTTCGAAAGGGAAGGTTCGTAGCTTCGCTGTAGTGAAGAACGAGTACGAGCAAATGAGCGCTGACATACTTCAACACGATTAGAAACGTCCATCAATACAGAAACTTTTTCCGAGAATATATCGGATCTCATCAAAGGAGCTGTATTATAACGTAGCATTGCGTAATCGTGGCGGCGGCGGCGGCGGCGACAGCAGCAGCAGCGGCCGTAGCATTACAGTTACGTTTTTATGTGTCTCGGCCGGCAGATATCGGACAGGGTATGAGACACATTGTGCCGAGCATTTGTCCCGTTGTGGCTGTGTATATAAGCAAGATATTTAGCTGGATAGGATTTAGCTGGCAAATTCTGATCAATAACGATATCAGAACAAAAATTGCGATCAAATAGATAAAGTCGCGTATAGGACAAACATCGCGTGCTAAGGCGGGTGAAATACGCCGATCCGAATGGCCGATATAGTCAATCCGAGCGCAAGAAGCTTCTATTTGTGATGCAGCGATTGAATCAATGACGAAGGCGAACATGAGTGGCACAAAGGAAAAATGAGGAAATGAATGATGTAGCTGATCTTCGCAGCAAGTAAAAGTCTCTTTTGAAATTCAAAAGAGGATGGCAACAATTGTTTAGGTTAAAAGTTAGATTTAATAATGACGCTTTGGCATATAAGAGTCTAAACTCTTCAGGAATGAGTGCACATATCTATACCGAATGTGGCAGAAAAATTGAACCATTGTCTGAATAAAGGAAGTTCATTTTTCAACGTGTCCTGGAAGTGCTATCCCTGATTAACATGTTTACTCCATTCGCAGATAATACAGGTTCAGTTTAGGTTGTAGACCGCTTACAGGGCGGCGTCAAACGCTTCCATTGTAGTCCTGCAAACGTTGATTTGGTAACACGAATAAGTAACCTGACATGATCATATTTAGACATGTTGGATTCCCGTTGAATATAGCATTCCATAGCAATAATCATCCGTGCTCATCTCAGAACGTGCTTTAGGTAATTAGATGTGTGCCAATTTACTCATATGAGCCGTTACGCCATCTTGTTAGAAAACGTATGGTCTCTCTTCAGATACTAGCGTAGCAATATATAGAATCTGCACATCGCCTGCTTGGGTTCTCACCTCTCGAATATTTGGACTCCAGCCGAAAAGTGTGCACTCAGCTCAGGCCCGTGGAAACAGCAGGCGTGTGGCCTTAACACAAATCTCAAAATATTCCTCCAATGTCATTGTGCAAACGATGAGTGTTATAAAATAGTGTGAATTGTAATAGAGTGACAGCAGAGGGTTAATATCATGAACACTCACACGCATGTCTAAATATTTTTAATCGCTTTCACAAGCCAGTGGAGATTAGGTCGAGTTTTTAGATATTTCAGTGAAATCGCGAAACCCCAGTAAGAGGAAGCGTGAACCCTAATAAAAACGATACAATTTGACAAACTTCGTGATCCTCTTTATAGACAACGGAGTAAGAAATTTTACGGAGCAAAATGTCGAATTGGAATCATTGTGAGATTTTGGATAGCTTGGCATTTTGAGCTTGCTGCATTATGACGTATACGAATTTTCCCTGTTGCATCATGAGCGAAGCCTCGCCACAAGTTTACGACCTCAAATTGAATCGCACCAAATGTTTTGGCGTAATTTTAAGGTAAGCCCTGCACCTTAAAAGACCTTTGGAAATTTTGGTCATTATCCAATTGCTGGTTTGTTTAAAAACTTTGCAAAATCACAGGATATATTTACAGAACTGCCACTAGAATGAGTTTTGGCCCCTGCGTGAGTCGTGGGACAAAACAGGTGAGGCTAGCCGTAAAGTAAAAGCTTCATTCTATACGTTACAGATTTGACTTCAAATAAAATCGAAGCTTTCCTTTGGGCAAGCCCTGCTCGAATCAGTCGCAGCTGTTGCAGATGGTCACCGATTCTGCGAACGCTTAGTGAGTACTTCTCGAGCACGAATCTACTATTGCAACGCGCAATGAATAGGTCGAACACTTCTGCTAATGCTAAATGCTCGCTGAGCCGCCAAATCAGGCCATAATATATATATATATATATATACTGTATGATGTCTGAGGAAAATAAAACCCAATAGGTAACGATTTGTTTTATATCTCTCGACCCTTTAGTGTTTCTCTTCATTGTCCAATCCTATCGCTCTGTTTGATTCCTTTGACTTTTATGTTTTTCGTATTTTTACGCAGCTCTCCACTGGGGCCTTCGTTTCACGCCTAAGCATTCATGTATATATTGGAACCTCCAATTCAAAGAAATAACACGAGCATTAGAGAAACTCATATTTCCACCTGTTCTCGATGCCGAATAGCTCCATAAGGAGCAATCCCTGACTGCGCTCGGCCTGCTTAAACCAATTCAACCAAAAGCAGGGCCCTGATATCGTTTATGCTGACTTGTCAGGATTCCAGCCTAGACAGGTACGATTTTCTTCAATGCGTCTTGGACGAATCGGTGGATTTAACCTATATAGCTATCGATATTACCTATTAACTTGGAGAAGGCGGTCGGGAAGTTCTTGCTGCATAACTGTAATTACTAATAATACGTTCAGTCTCTTACTAGTCTCACTGGCTTGTCGTAAATGGTGCAGTAGAAACCATTTTGAGCAGATCACACGCGGAGGCGGCAATGCTACACACTGTTATAAGAACTAGCCGTGTGTCGAAACAAGATGACCTAATGACCGTCTCATGTAACTGGTAAATGGCAATGACTATGCACGAAAACAAAAGATTTGAATCTAGGGCTTTGTACATTGCGACCAGTAGAGCACCATCTGTAACCATACACGAGATATATTATCCTCGGCCACGGTATTCGTATTTCTACTGAATTTCTCCATCATGATCGTGGGCTACTTGGATTTTATCTGACTTTCTTTGAAGTGTTCGCGGTTTACGTGATTGGTAGCAACGCTACGACACGCTTAAATATTTCAACGAGTCTGACACCAGTGAATATTGCCCATTTGTTAACACACGGGATCGCTCGTGCGTTCCGTAGACGTTTGTTGTTCGCGGATGCTCAATTTACCCGTACCTAGCCTGAAGGCATTAGACTCTTGTATAGTACACGGCGAGTATGTCAATTTCAACGTTGGGATCCTTCGGAAGGCCGCGTAGTCATGGCTCACTATCAAACTGAAGGCAATTTGGGTCAATTCAATGAGCCTGCCAGGCACCAGCAAACCAATCAGCAAATTGATCCCGGTAACTGTCGTCCCCCACAGAGAAGTTCAGTTCAGGTTCACTTTCTATAGCGTCAAAGGGATCTGCTACTGGCATATATTTTGTATCTATAGATCTATAGATAGCAGATCTGCGTAACTGGAAAATCATACAGATTAAGCGATGAAACCGAGACGATCAGCAAACGTAAATCGGTAGCCTTGCCCGTTTTTGGAATACAGACATCGGGTAGGCAGTCAGTCCCCTGCGAATAACCCGGCTTAATTCGATCGCGTAGCCATTACGATGCACGTGTCTTACCTTCAGAATATGTAATTATTTATTATGAACGCTTGTTTAATAATTTTTCTTCTAACTCGAGTACACTTTTGCAATGCACCACAAGAAATGGCAAGAAAAAGAGACGTAAACACATAAGAATTAAAAAAAAAAAAACAGATCGCGTTTTTTCCTGTTACATACGCTATTTCTGGTAGCGGCTGAAATTTTTTCCGAGCCTGTGTCCTAGCAGTATGCCCCTTCGCTAAACATTTGCTGCGTAAACATTTTGTTCGTATGCTAAGTAAAGGCAAATGATGTCATGACTGTCCTTCTCACTTGCAAGGTAGGCCGAGATAACCCATTCTTTGAAAATTCATAATAAATCAATGAAACGAAGGATTACCAGTTTTTATGGAACTTTTTCTGTACAATGTGGAAAACGAGAAGTTAAAGTATTCTCATAATAGTGCATATTAAGTGTTGGATAAGTGTTAAATAAGCCTATAATACAAGCATGACTCACTTATGTCGCCACGTAACTGCGGCCTCTGTTAAAAATGTTTGTCTATAAACGAAGAACCTTATCCTATCTATTTTCGATAAGAATACACTTTCAGGTTATACTGCTAGGGCAGAATCTCTGCCAGACATGTTGAAGTATATATCTCGTCTAAAATTACTCGAATTCGGCCAGACCAACATGCCGTGTTTTATACTCCATTCTCGGAGTCGGTATTGGACCGGTGCTGATTCGTAATTCTATGCGACCTTATGACAAAATATTTATACAATGGAGAGCGTCGACCGTAGCTGCATAGCGAATTGGCTGGATCTGGCTGCGAGATATAGGCCCTGAGCTCTTTGTTCGAACGTTGTAATTTTCCCATGGTTTCTACCTACAGTATGAAAACAGTGTATGTATGAATAATTTATAGCAATAGGTCGTCTAGTGCTCCAGACGGCAGACGGTCATTATACGTTTTCCGTACATACGTTACGTGTTTGTGCTTACGTTAAAAAAGATAGCCATTGAGAGATGCTTTCTGACCTTGATACTGCCGAAAAAGAAACAGGCCCTGGGAGTTCACGTATAAACTACGAATCATTAGTTCAGAATAATATGCGTATAGGACAAGAGACGCTACGATCTCTCCATCACGAAGCGTCTTATGTGCAAATATGTAAATTATCTAGCGACTAAGCATAAGGTAGTAGTCGAAACATGGGATTTTTACTTTGGATATTGTTTTTAGGTCAAACGCTTGGCTAAGCTTACGACACCGCTGTTCAAATCCGCGCGCGATGAACCCTGATACGCTCAAACACAAATAAAAAAAAAAATAGCTCGTCGTTACTGACACCATACTAAAAAAACATTTTGACTTGTTATGCAACGTATGTCACGTTATCTGAACACTTACGCACATAAACAGCGCGCCTGTTACATTAAAAATGGACATGGCGAGACGATGAGCGCAGCTGTAAAACGAGTACAATAAAATTCAATAGAGAAGAATACAATAGAATTCAAGAAACAAGATCTATTGATACTGTAAATGATCCGTGAGAGGTGAACACATGAATAGGGTATCGAGAACCGTGGTCGTTATTCCCGAAAAATCCATAACAGATCTGCTTGTTGATCTAAGCGTAGTTGGAGTGCCATAGAAAACTATAATAGTATGATCGTTTGAAGCCGTTCATCGTGAAGTAATCTTGCTTAGAATGTAGTGCAAAATGTTTTTTTACCACTCACCATGACGGGTCGTTTCTTGTCACTCTTTTCCGAAGGTGTCCAAACATTTAAATAGAGGCAGTCTTCGGAACAAGAGCTTGCGCCCCGGGTCAAATGGATTGGCCATGCGTCACTCCACTGTCTGCAGGCAGGCCCAAATTCAGTGGCGTTTATTGGAGTCTCCCAAGCATATATGGGTTCAGGCGCCTTGAGCCGAAGTGGACCGAGCGGCGGTTGCGCATATGGTATACCCAGAAAGGCATCAACATAACGGCCTAGATATTCCTTTCGAATCCCATAGATTCCTCCTAGTCGCGTTTTTACAAATGGCGGATTCCCGGATGCGTAAAGTGAAATATCTTCTTGCCTTTAGACGGAAAAAGTAAAAAGACGAACGAACGAAAGAAAGTATTATTAGAACATGTAGCGTAGGGCATTTTTCTATGGTTTCTTAATTGGGCATGTCAAGCTTAGTCGAACGTAATACGTCAGCAAATACCGTAACGATTAGTCGAGGTGCAGTAGTAAAACAACGGTCCAGAATCATGCCCAAGCATCAAATAAATGCAGATGTATCGATTAGATTTAAAAGGATGTTTACAAATCTCAGAGTAGCGTTTCCTCTATTCCAACCGAAATTGCGTGTGCAAACAGATATTGGAGGAGAGCGGGGTTGGGTCGCTAAAGGCAATCATACACCTTCGAGATAAGCGGGCCTGCAGACAAGGTTCAAGCAGCATAATAACTACGTTTAAAGTTATGATAACGCACACATAAGAGCCAAAGTAGAAACAGATAGGTTTGTCTATAGAAAAAAACACATGCAGAAATCCTAATTGTTTATCATTTGATATAAGTGGTACCACACTACACGGTGACGTTCGTATAAATGCTTTATAAATGGTGTCAATTTTGTTCGTATTATTGGCCCTTTGAAACAATTCGTTTACGTACATATAGTTTAGTTTGTTCAATAAGGTTGCAATTAGAGTCGGTCCTGAAAGAAAAAAACAGATGCAACAAGAGCTGGGTTAATACACGATCAAAAGATACATGAGCACATGTATGGCTGACGGACACGTAAGTAGCAGGTTTTAACGTTTTTTTCAGTTTGAATCGATGCGTGCTCGCGCATATATTCTATATTCTTTCGAATCCGGCGCCCCGTCTCATCTCACAGCTGTGAACAATCATGCTCAGTGGATGTTTTCTGCATAATTTTCCTCTCGGTACATCGCTGTATACTTGTAGTGTACATCGATGTCGGTAAAGTTATCCAGTAGGGAAAAAAGGGTTTAAGAAAATTGGCACTTAAGGTTGAATTCAGGACGACCCGGCCATGCAGAGTCTAGAGAAGAGGCTTTTGTGGTCGCCAGACCTCACCTCAATGGATTTCCTACATTTGGGTTGTCGTACAAAGTCATGTTTTCGCGCGAAGGTGGAGATTTATTAATGAGACGAAGGCGTTCACTGCGGATGTATCTCAGGAAATCAGTAGTGAGGCTAGATGGGGCTAGTATATATCTGATTGTTTCTGGCGGACTTCAGTATGAGTAGATGAGTAACAATGGTGACCACTTTCAGCCTCTGTTAGTTTTGTGACAAAGCAGCCCACGCTACAATGTCCTCATCGAACAATCATAGACCTGTTCAATGATAACGATAGCCATAATTGCATTTATTGGCCTATATTAATAACTGTTACCGTACATATCATATTTGCACATACGTCTTAACTGTAAGCTTATTTTTCTTTCCTGCCAGACATATATA